GAAAGAGAATAACAGGGAAAAGTAAAGGAACGCAAGACGCCTATTGGATGTGCCACGCCCCTTCCTTCAAACTATATATATAGCCTATTATAAGCACCCACCGTAGATATGCCAGCATACCAAATTTCGATTTCATGTGACTTACAGTATTCAAGTTATAGCTGATAAAAATTTCCACGCCTATGGGTTGTGCCACGCCCTCTTTTACAAACCGATTTATATTTACCCTACTATAATCACCTACCATAGGTATCTGCATACCAAATTTCATGTTCATGTGCCTAAGGGCCCGAAGGTAAAGCTGAAAAAAATTTCCACGCCTATGGGAAGTGCCACGGTGGTCGTTAAAATCACTTATACATAGCCTACTATAAGCACCTGCCATAGATATATATGTATACCAAAGTTCATGTGACTTATGGTTCCGAAGTTATAGATGATAAATTTCCCATGCTTATGGGATGTGCGACGCTCTCTTTTCCACACTCATTTATATATCCCTTATTATAAGCGCATACCATAGATATGTCTGCGTAACAAACTCGAAGTTCGTGGGACCTATGGCTGGTAAAAAATTCCACGCTTATGCCACGCCTTCTTTTTCACCCTCTTTTATATATACCCTATTATAAGGACCTACCATAGCTGCCTACCAAATTCCAAGCTCATGTGACTTATGGTTCCGAAGTTATTGCTGATAAAATATTCCGCGCCTATGGGATGTACCGCGCCACTTTTACAAACTCATTTATATATGCGTCACTATAAGCACCTACCATACATATGACTGCATGCCAAATTTTAAGTTCATGTGACTTATGGTTCCGGAGTTATAGTTGATAAAATATTCCACGCCTTTGGTATGTGCCACGCCCCTTGTTAAACATTCATTTATGTATATCGTCGTTTAAAGTACAAAACCGCGTATCGTCATTCTGCAAAACCGCGTAACTGACATTGGCTGCCAAAAATTGGATTTGCTCACACAAGCTCTTGGCTCAATCCTTATCCATTTGTCCTGAAATATACTAGCCAGAAATGCGATTGCTTTATAAAAAAAGAGAACCGTTTTGAAATATGAGTGTTTTTACGCTCTAGGAAATAATTTCTAAAACTTCACATACGCGGTTTTGCATTTTGCTGATACGCGGTTTTGGATTTTGTTGATACGCGGTTTTGCACTTTAAACGACGATATATGCCCTTCTATAAGCATCTACCGTATATGAGTAGTCCACTTGCAAAGTGCGCTATGTAAAATTTTTTCGATTTTTAGTTTTTGGTGGATTACGTACCAGTATTTAAAGTAGTTTCATGCCCACTAACAACACAGTGCAAAATCTTTTTATATTCTGAAAAAAATAGCATAAAATATTACCTCTTTTTCCAAAAGTCGCTATCATACTTATTTATAAACTTTCAAAAGTATCCAACTTCTGATGAACCTAGAAAACTGTTTTAGGTCGTGTAGACTGTTAATGTTATCTTATGTCATGGTATGTTATGTTATAATTTTTTAAGGCTCTTATTTATCCAAATTTTCAGGTAATAATAAAAAAGATTCAATTTAAATGTTACTTGTTGTCGTAGTCGTTTTTTCAAATTTATGGCTTTCTATTATAAAATCCCATAACGCTGTTTGCAATTGGACTTCTCATATGTGTATGACTGCATACCAAATTTCAAGTTCATTTGGCTTGTTCCGAAGTTATTGCTGATAAAATTTCTCGCCTATGGGATGTGCCACGCCTTCTTTTTCAAACTTATTTTTATATAACCTCCTATAAGTATCTGCATACCAAATTTCAAGTTCGTGGGACTTATGGTTCCGAAGTTATAGGTGATAAAAAATTCCACGCCAATGGGATGTGTCACGCCCTCTTTTGCACACTCATTTATATATACGCTATTATAGGCACCTGCCATAGCAATGGCTGCATACCAAATTTCAAGTTCATGTGACTTATGGTTCCGAAGTTATGGCTGATTAAAAATTTCACGCCTATGGGAGGTGCCACGCCCCCTTGTCGGATCCCAATTTTTTTTCACCCTATTATAGGCCCAGGTGTCATGACAATACTCTGTCAAAATTTTCTTCGATTCTGTCCGTCCGTTTAGGCTGCAACCTGGCGCATACATCCATACATACATACAGACTTCCACAAATATATAGTAGAAGAATGCACGGTGTCTGGGAACAATAAAAAAGTCTGTCTGACATGTAGCTAAAAATTCGATGTAGAGATCTCTTCGTAATGACCTTAGATGCTAGAAAGCGACCATCTTTAAATCCGATCTGATCCTTTTCTGAAGAAATCTTAAAAGAAAATATTTTAATTCCAAATTTTTTCGAAAACTAAATCGATTTTTCTTAAATTCAGCACGAAGTACCCACTAGAACTTGAAGGGAGATCTCCCTATGTGAGGAATAAAAGAGTACTCCCCTTAACCTGATTTCTGAGCAATAAAGGAGATTTGTCGGTTTTGTTCTCCTTTATTACTCGTTTAGGATTAAAAAGTGATGTCTCCTAAGCGAGAAATCCAAGAGTATTCTTTTTATTTTGTGTTTTCGGAAAAATGTGTCATAGAAAAAAAACCAACAGAAAATATTTCTTATAGACGCATAAGGAGGACACAATAATCTAATTTGGATAGCACACAGATTTTAATAAAAGTCCGTTGGTATGTACCTCAACTTTTGTTTAAATATATTAAGTATTGTATTACTTATAAATATACCGTTAAATACTTTTCAGATTACGCAAATTAGTGTTTGCATTTAAGTGTGACCCCCGGGTTTAAACATCGCATGGGTGACAAAGATGTCAGATAAGCAAAGTCACCTTCACAATTTCCCCGCTTGGTGGATTCCTGAACAGGCAAGCATCCTTGACACCCAGGAAATCATATACGAGTTCATACTTATATGTGTATATAGGTGCATATAATTCAAATCTTATCTTACCGTTTTGTTATTATTATGTTTTACTTTCATATGATTTCTCTGCAATATAATTCTAAAATTAAGCAATTATGTAAGACGTATCATTTATGTTTTATCTGATCTCATACTTATATCTGTTAAGATCTTGTAAAATTGCACAAATGCACGTGATTATAAATTTAAATAAAAAATTTAATAAATAGCAAAATCTATTTGGCTAATTTAAAATGTTCGTTATCATTGATCTCTTATTACTCCCATAGGCGGCTTTCGGGATGCCTCTAATGGGAGCACTCCCTTATTGCTCGTTCGGGAGGAGTATGGGATATTTTCTATGTGCACTCCCTTGTTGTCTTTTTGGGAGGTTTCTGGGAGGTAACTATGGGAGTACTCCCGTATTGCTCCATTAGAAGGTTTGTGGGATGATAATTCTGTGTGTGCTCCCCGATTGCTCGTTTAGGACGTAAAAGGGATTACTCCCCCTCCTAGGACATCCAATGTTAAAGGGAGTATACAAAATTACATGCTTATACACAGAAGCGTAGGGAGCAATGGGGAGTATTCGTATACTCCCAAGGGAGTACTCACCGAGCAATCGTACGATGCTCCCAAGTCCTACTGGGTAGGTATACATTTTCTATGTATTGGTTTATTCTGTTTTACATTCATGAATCTGTTACAAAATTAACAAACAAAAGTAATAGCAATACCATGTTCTGACCGACAACGGAGACACTTTGAAAACGAGTTTTGGGATTGTGGGCTGAAGGCCCAGTTATGTTACTGGTTAAGAGAAGCGAATGCGCGTCACGCCCTAAATTCCCGTACCTGGGTGGTCCAAAAATACATAGGAAAATCGACTTTTTTGATTTTTTGTGCTGCCACCCCCCCCCCCCAACTTAAAAATATCAAAAAAAAAGGAACACATATATTTTTTTTTTTTGAAATCGGTTAATATTTACCCGTGGTGCGTTTGAAGAGATTTAAAAACAGTTTAATGCGGGGTTGCCCCCTTTCTAAAAAATACAACGGTTATTAAAAATTTAAGCTTATTTAATACCACAATATGGGTATCAAATCGAAGGTTTATGTACTCCCAACAAAGGCTTTTGAAAATACATACTTTAATTCATATATATTTTTGGATATGGTAGCCATTTTTCTATAATACATTTTTTTTAAATCTTGCTACATTCCCTTAAGGAAAATGTGAGTTTCAAACAAAAGGTGTTAAAATAAAGCTTTAACCCCTACATGGAGTTAGCACCTATCTAAAATATAAAAATAAGTGCGATATATTGTCGCTACCATGTCAAACTATCGAATTTGCAAAAATGCATATTGCATCATTTCACTTAATTTACATAATTACCTCATCCTCGTTAACAGATGGGTGACAACCCTATTTAGTCGAAAGCTTATGCGGACACCTTTCGAGTGATACCCATATTGTCGTATTAAATAAGCTTAAACTTTTAATAATCATTGTTCTATGTTTTTTAAAAAGGTGGCTACCCCGTTTAAAAATATTTTTAAATATCTTCAAACGCTTTTTGTTTTAATGAAGAAACTTAAATATTCTATTGACCTCTAAAAAATTTTAAATATTCAATCCTATTTTTCAAACATTTTTACCACAAACCTATAGAGAACATCGAGTAGAATGCGCAAAAGAGTTATACACATCCATTGAGCTGTTCGTGCGTGATGTGGTTATGAAAACATAAAGGAACTAATTTTTGTATATAACAGATAGGATTATCGGTTATTAAAACACACTTGGTAAAAGTTAAAGAATCATCACAGTGTTATTTTTTGAAGACTTCTGAATGGAAATAATCTTGTTCGATCGAAAATCTATATTTTTAACGATTTTATAGAAATTTTTCGATAAAATGTATATTCGCCATGTAAAATACATGTGAAACTTCAAAGCCCCTGCGGCACGGATAAATACTAATCGATGGGCGGGAGGCTGGAGGAAAACAATTTTTGTATCACCCTAATATACATATGTACATATCAATGGTCCCCTGCAATAACGACACAATTCAAAATTCAAAAAATAAAAACTGTTACTACTGCTAAGTAGATCTTGTCTCTAATCCTTGTCGAATCTATTTCCAACCCTTACTAAAGTAAGCAGTAAGGATTGCTAAAGTGTGTACCCAAAGATTAGACATGGATCCGAGAACGATTAGAGGCATGAGCCACTTAACAGTAGCAGGGGCTTTTATTAAAAAAAATATTAATGTATCTCTAAAATAAGTATAACTAAAAAAATCTACACTTGTGATCAGGTAATGATACACTTGTACTTGTGATCAGGTAATTAAGCCAGCAACCTTTTGATAAATGTTTGCTATTTTGCTTTCGTTTATTTAATGTTTATTATTTTTCCATAAAAGTCTAGCTCATTATATAACAAACACCATATAAATCAAGATTTCAAACTTTGTGCAAAAATTATGAAGAATCTGCAAAGTTTCAGCTAAATTTTCAACTTTGTATTCAGATTTTTTTTTTTGAGTATGCAGTTTAATAATCCACTAAATTCTAGGGTAAAAATGTGCAAGTCTTGAGTTTTTTTCTGACTGCATAACAAATATTTTTCCATACAAAATAAATTCGACAATTCTAAAAAATCTTATAAAAGATTGAAAATTTAGCTGAAACTTTGCAGATTTTTCATGTGCACAAAGTTTGGAATCTGGATTTATGTGGTGTTTGTTATACAATGAGCTAGCCTTTTATGGAAAAATAATAAACATTGAATAAACAAAAGAAAAATAGCCAAAATTGATCTAAATGTTGCTGGCTTAATTAGCTGATCACAAGTGTACAATGTTTTATATTAAATAGAAATACAAATAAAAGGCCAGCGTGAGTTTGGCCAAAACAACATTTTTTGAATGTTATGTTTCTTTTAATTTTAGTTTTGATTGTTGATGCTACCGACAGGGTAGGGAAATGTTATAATTAAGACATTTATTTTGAAAGTGGCATAAGTCACTTCACACTTCTTATTCTTAAATCGCCGGTTACTTGTATCTGAACGCTCATTAACCAAAGGTAGAGGGTTTTGTTGTTAGTATATGACGATAGAGCGATTTACATATGCATTCGGTTACAAGTATCCAGCCATTTACGCACAAGAGGTACGAAGTGACTTATTTATGCCACTTTGAAAATAAAGGGCTGAATTATTGATGATAATAAAAGTATAATTTTAAATGATATTTGAAATTTCCTAATTGTAAGCCGTGGTTTAAATTCCCACTGGAATTTCATTTAGCTATTAAAATTTCAATTAAGTCGCATACAGTCTAAATGCTAAATACAACTAAAGAATACAATTTGATAAAATCTACATATAAAACAAACTCGACAGTAATTTTTTTTTTTGTATGCATAAAGAAATTGCTATAGATAAAAACTTGAGTTGGCGTAGAAAGATTCGCAAGTACATGTTTAATTTCTACAGCCACTCTCTTCCAATCATCTTTCCATCGCTGTTACTTGATCCTTCAAATAATCCATATGATTCACGCTATCGAGCATGATATCGTGTTGATAGTCAACATGTTGTAGTATTAGTTGCATTTTATGCAAATTTTGACTGCTGTAGTCTGATACAATGTCAACCTGTGTGAAATTTTTGATAGTTTGGCCTAAAATCTAAAATATAAAGATATAAGTTGTTCTTAAAAATGAATACTTACATATTAACCCGGTCAAGTTAGACAATCGAAGTTGCAAGAATACGAATAAAGCTGCAAATTTGTACGAAAGTTGCGAACACCATTATAAATGAAACTTAAAAAGTACCCACATCTGCAGAAAATTGATTCAAGGTCAAAAGTCACATAAACTGTTCTTATTCAATTTTCAGTCAAAAAGGTTTATAATAACAATCGGTTAGACAAAAGTGTCCATCATGCAATTATCTATTAAAACTGTTATGACAATTTCTTCCGAAGAATTAGCATTTCTGAGATATAGCGATTAAAAAAGTTGTTCTCCATAATATGTACAATTTCTACTATTCGTGAGGTAGTATACTTGACGGCTTTTTATAACATGGTTTCCCCGGTAGGCCTATTATTGTAGCCCTGTTTAACTAAGATTGAATGAATAAAAATATTACCATTGGAAGTGATGAAAGCGGTGTAAATCAAAAGTAACTGGAGAAAACTCTTCTTTACTATAGTTTACAAGAACATCACTTGGTATCTAAAATATTCAGCTTAATTCGAATATGTACTCAAAATATAAGAAACGAGAATAGTTTTTGAGATATAGCCAACTTTCGGTTTTTTGTGTTGTGAAATGTTTATTGCAGTTTGTTTTCAAATAGCTGGCTAGGCTCAAACTTCTTTTTACAAACGGAAGCTTATTAAATTTGCTATCATCTATGCCAGGGATGGGCAAAGGGACTCCCAGTAGCTTTTTGCACTTAGGAGCTGGCATGGCTCATTTAGGTGCTAGATGAGGGCTGACATCAAGGGCCAGCATGAAGGGGGAAGAAGACCGTTATACAATTTATTGTACTTTTACACCCATATTACACTGAGAACTGCTTACTTCTTCCGCAGCACTTGTCGGCTGTTTGACTGCTTTAAGAGCCAAAAATCTACACATCCCTGATCTTGGCAAACGATATCCTCCAACCGGGTTACTGGTTTAGGAGCTTATTATTGATTATCGACAATTTTGCATAATTAAAAAAAGAAAAAATACATAAACAAAATTTACTTCGGTATATATTAGGGATGTTAACTTTTCAGCTTTTTCCGATCCCGGGATTTTCGGTATGTCGTTATCACAATCCCGGGATCCCGGGATTAAGATATTCATAACTTTTCAACAATCTAAATCGAAAAAATGCTTCTATATTGTTTGAGAAGCTCTCCTACCATAAAATAAATAATAAATAAATGGGTTTGAAACCTACTTTTTATTTAAAGTGGCGTTTTTATTTTTTCTCTCTAACGTCAGGATTTATTTTAAAAGGCTTTGTAATTTCAAAGATATGATCAATTCCAAAAATTATAAAAAAAATTCTATGCAGTGTAGAATAACAATATGGGTACCAAATGCAGGAGGAAATTTCTTTAGAATTTAAAAAAAAATTAAATTTTTTGGATTCACAAGGACGAATAGGTAATTTTTTAAGCTGATAAAGTTAGAAGGACGAAATCGAGTTTATATAAGTCCGTAACATATAACTTTTTCATAAACAAATATTGCAAAATTTCAAGGATAAAATTTTAAAAGGACATTTTCAATACTTACCAGTCTTTCTGAACCAAAAACTTGAATCTGTTTAAATTCTACAGAATTTCCTCTTTAATTTGATACCCATACTTCTTCTCTAAACCCATTTCTCTGAATGTTTTAAATCATTTTTGCATTACTGACGTTAGAGTGAAAAACTAAAGGCGGCATTTTACTATATTTGGCCCACCGTTTCTCGAATATATTGATATTTATGTGTAAAGTATGCTATCGCACGGTTTTATATGTATAATGAGCTAGGCATCTATAAAAAAAAAATGAATTATTAAAAAAAAATAAATATAGCCAATACTGGTCAAGAATTATTGCCACCGGCTGCCTAGGCCCTTTATAGATATTTAGGGAGCCCTTACAAAAATGGAAAAAACACAACTTTTACTTGCATTTCGCTTGTTTTGAGTAGATGAAGGCAATGACTTGAGCCTTTCCATGTTGCCGGTGAAGACGGGCCGCCTAGGGTATATAACATTTCTGGTGCATAAAGGTGAAGACCCCAGGCTCGGAGGCTTCCTTTGAAAAAAATGTATTTCTGCGTATGCGGCCTTCGGCGGCGATGAGGGATTATAACCCTTACTAAATAGAATTCTAATTTCTGTGTTGTTTGAGAATCTATTGTATTGTATCGCAATTAATGGCAATTCAACTTACTATTTTTATAAAATTAGTTATTAACAAAAGTGTGATCATGTTATAAACATTAGTGTGGGCGTAGCAATAAACATTAATTTCGGCCCACCCATTCCGACGTAGTAAGTGAAACAAAATCGGCCTTAAAGGAAAGCCAACCCATACATTTTATTGCAGATGTGGAACCGATGAGAAATTTTCACATCTCATTTATAATGGTGTTCGCAACATTCGTATAATTTTCAGCTCTATGCTAATTATTGTAAGCTTGCCCCTATTTTTTAGCTAACTTGACTGGGCTAAAAGCTGACAATTAAAAATTATTTTGTTATATACGAATACCTCGTTAGATTTGGAGCCGCGTACTAACTGCCGTGTTACTGATCCCAAGTTATTTACGTTTACACCCACCCGGTCGCAAAGCCGTTTCTTGCTGTCACTAAAGAGATGGCGTGCTGAGCTACTTGAAGCTGAAGCCATCTACAGATATTAAAAATAATAAGATTTAATAGTTTTGTATTTGTATAACTTTGTACACTAAACTCTAAACTTAAGATTTTTCAGTCAATGGCCAGTATTCAGTCATGTTGAGCATGTTAAAGCTTAAACAGACGTCAGCGTTGATCCGGATTAACTTGGCCTTGATCCGTATCAACTGCAGTTAATTCCCGAGTTGATCCGGATCAACGCTGCCGTTTGTTTATGGTTTTAGCCAAGTACTATAGTTCAGATATCAAATTATACTTTTTAGTGTGGTAGTAGTGCACTTTACGGGAACCAGGTCAAAATGGACGCAACAAATCGAGAGTGGTATCAATCGACGCGTTTCAACTCGAACAATAACAATCCGGGGGGAAAATTAAGATGTTTAATTAATTTAAGAGTTATTCGCAAAAAACACTTGCATTTTGCACTTTTCGCACCATGTTTTGATGAATTTGATGCAAATAAATGGAGTAAATGAAAGTTTTTCTCTGCAAAAGGTTTTCAGCCCCCCTTCTTCGGCAACACAGAAAGGAGAATTCGACTGCCTGAGGGTTATAGTCCCTAAGTGCGGCCGAAGGCACCCTACGCAAAAGGGTGTTCTCTGCAAAAGGTGTTCAAGCCCCCCTTCTTTGGCAACACAGAAAGGAGAATTCTACTGCCTGAAGGTTATAATCCCTAAGTGCGGCCAAAGGCCACCTACGCAAATAGGTGTTCTCTGCAAAAGGTGTTCAAGCCCCCCTTTTTTGGCAACACAGAAAGGAGAATTCTACTGCCTGAGGGTTATAATCCCTAAGTGCGGCCGATGGCCGCCTACACGAAAAGGAGTTAGACGCCTGGTTCCGCTAAAGTGCACTTTTACCTTTAGTGTTTATACAGGTATCTTCATTGTGTGACACAAGTACGCCCAATACAAATTGGAAGAGAAGCTCGACCAAGAGAGGATTGTTTGGAGGCTTATATCCTGTATTTTAATACATGTACTTTTGTAGTAATTTTTTTAAACGCAGCTTTATATTTAAGACTGAAACTATGTTAATGTTGTAGCAGTTGTTTTTACTTTTAGTTATCTTTGGAAGATATATGATTTACATGTACTTGTACATACATAAGGCATCATAACTTTATTCCAGGTAGGTAACATGAACTAGACTTGAAAATTTCAAAAACGCTGTACCAAATATATTTAATCATTTCAAACTGAACTAAAACACTTAATTCATATATACTCACTATTATTTGATGAATATCAAAACAATTCGAAAAATAATCACAAATTTTCAGTAGTAAACAAATCAGCTGTCAGTGTAACAGCTGTTTCGGTCCAACTGCACATAGCGCCACCTATTTGTCATTTACCGACGTACTGAATTGTCTTTACCAAATATTCGATACCCAATATTAAAAAAAATTCCGGTACCCGACACCGATTCGATACATTAAACCTTCCCCTAATACCTACTCATCGCCTGGGTATAAGATTGTCGTATGTTAATTTCGGCAGCTTGTGGGAAATCGCGATTGAAGTTTGGATTGCAATTTCTCAAAAACGCGAAGGTAGATTTTCTCCAAGGTCTTTAAAAATGATGCTAGTTCACAAAATTCTTAAATAATTTAATTTTTAATGTTTATTGTTAATTTGTTTTGAGTTTATGAAGTTTTCTTTAGTAAAATTTTGTCGTAAGCGTCATTTGTCCAAAATTTGGCAGGCACTTTGTATGAAATACGACAAAATGTGATCAAAATTTCTACTAAATTAACGACACTATTTACTCAATATCTCGGAAACTAAAGGAGATATACAAAAATGGAGAACACAATTTTTAAGATATTGATTAGTTAAATATGACTGCATCACCAACTAAATTTTTACTAAATTATCGAAAAAGTTGTAGTCAATATTTCGGAGACTAAAGGAGATATCTGATAACACCAATCGAAAGACCTTATTTCAAAATATATAACTGCATCTAGAACTAAAAATCATCAAAATGGCGCTAACGACAATCTTTTACCCAGGCGACGTACTGTAAATTTAAGTATGGAAAAAACGTATTTCATTGCTATTTTATACCATATCGCCTAAAAAGCATAATGCCGTTTTCCCAAAGGTGTAAATTTTTGTATCTTAAAATCGCAAGTCTGAAATGTTTACTTTGCAGACTGGTGTTCAGGAAAAATATCGTCGAAATTATATTCTTTTACAGTAGACAGCATGATACAAAACCGAAGGTAGTTTCACTACTACTATTTTTTTATTATAAAGCAGATTTTTTACATTTCTCAAAATTTTAACATTAAGCATAGCTTTGCCACATGGGAATTTTATGAGAAGGGAGATTTTTTTTTAATATTTGGGATTCAAAGCGTAAAAATTATTTTTGAAGAATGTCGATGTGCAGAGGATGAGGAAATAAAATAAAATCGATTTTTTATACAATTACTTATTGTAAACCAACTAAACAAATTTACATATCGTAATTTGACGAAATCCATTATAGCAATCAAAAAGTGAATTTAGAATTTTTTATAAGTTACAACTTTTGCATTTCAGGTGACGATTTGTAACATGTAACAAAACATTAATCTATGTTGTAATTTTCTTAATTTCTTTGCTGAAGCTTTGCATCAGTCCCCTTGCAGATATATGTATTTGTAAACTACCTTCTTTTTTGTATTATGGTAGACAGATATTCGGAACAAAGAAAATTTATTGTATTTTGTACTGTGGAATTTGGATTTTTTTCTGTTATTTTCAGGTATTTTTATATTTTCAGTTTTTAAAACAAGTACCTAACTTTTAAGCAAAAAAAAATCCGATTTAAGATACCATTAATTTCTTCATGATCCAACGATCGGCTCTAAACCAAATTGGTATGGGACGACCAAACATACATACCTATAAAAATATGTTCCAACGAATTGATAACCTTCTCTTTTTTTGAAGTCGGTTAATAAAAAATAATAATATATAAAATAAAAAATAAAATAAAAAGTAAAAAAA